AGGCGCAGGCCCTTCTCCCGCGGGCGCGCAGAAGAGCCCTGCGATGCGCCAGTGCAGCCTGGGGGGCAGCTGGAGAGACCCCTGGCCAGCCCGAGACAGGGGCAGCCCTGGCTTGGTCACCAGCTGTGAGGGCTCCCTGCTCTGAGCCTCAGTTTCCCTTCTGTATAATGGAGAGAGCGATCTCTTCCTTGCCAGCCTCCCAGGGGACAGTTCCCGAAGCCGGAATGTTGTGTGTGTGTGTGGGGGGGGTCAGTAGCAGTTGAACCGGGGCTCCTCTTGCCCCCAGACCCTGAGCCCTCTCAAGACGCCCAGGCTGAGGTTCCTTAAGCCCAAGCTCTGCCTGGTCAGGGCAGGAATGTGGTCCCTGGGGCCTGAGGCACAGACAGTGATGAAAGAAAATACAGTCCTGGAGGATTTGCACTCATGGCATTGTGCGAGGGCATCCCATTGCACAGATCAGAAAACTGAGGCACAGAGCCCGTAAGTGATTTATCTGAATTCCTGCAGTGGAGCCAGAAGCTCAAACTGTGTAGCTGGGGATCCCAGCTGAGGGCTCTTTGCGCCGCAGTAGGAACAGGGCAAGTGGCTGCCCCGGGCCTCCTGGCCACGCCTGCCTCCTCCCTCACAGCCCTGCCCCTGGGAGGCCGCCCGGGGGTCCTGACCCCATGGCACAGCTGGTGAGCCTTTCGGCTGCAAAGCTGTGTTTCCGTGTGGTCCCGTGGGCGTGAGTCGAGCACGTCTGCCCCAGCAGGTGTCTCCCTATCTCGTGCACAGATGTGCACCTGTTTGCACCTGTGCCATGTGCGCTTGTCCCTGTCAAACTATTGACCTGAGAGAGTTTGACCTTCATGCCCAGAGGTCACGGGCCCCTTTGTTCTCTCTGGACACTAGTGACAGCCCCACCCTCTACCCGGACCCCCACCTTCCTCTCGGGGATCCTACTCACCTGTGTCGTCGGAGACGCTGGGCCTCTGGCTGCCAGATGGGGAGCGGAGGACTTCGTCGCTGTACATGAGGTAGCCCTCATAGTCTTCCCCGCCCTGCGCGTCCACGATGGGGATGTCGGGGATGATGGGGACTGCAGGGGAGGGAGGGTGAGCCAGAGCCCCGTCTCAGCCTCCTGCACCCCGTCTGCCCCCTGCCTCCTCGTCCCCCACTCACTGGACATGGGCCGCTTGGGCTGGGTGGCCAGGTTGATGATGGCCTCCCGCTCGGGCCCCCAGCCTGCCCCGTTGCGCGCCTTCACCGTGTAGCGGTAGGGCTGGGACTCCCGCAGGTTCTCAATGAGCAGCATCCGCTTCTTGGGGGTGTCCACCAGCACCTTCTTCATGGGCCCGATGGGTCCTGGGCGGGGGGAGTGCTTCAGAGGGGTCTCCCAGGTCCCGCCTGGCCCCGGCCTGCCTCTGACACCGCAGGACAGGAATGGCACCCGGGGGCTCCGGGACAGGCAGGGAGTGAGCAGTACTGAACCCCTGCGGGTGCCAACCCCTGAGCATCGGGCGTGACTGTCGCCAACTCTCCAAAGGGCTCATCACTAAGCTAAGTGGCAGCATCAGGTCTAGACTCAGGGTGGCCCCAGTGTCACCTCTACTAATTGGTAAAGGATCCTGGGAGACCAGCCAACATCTCAGTTTCCAACGCGGTCCAAAGGAGGTTGTGGAAAATGACACCTCATACCCTTGGTGTCCACCCCCAGCCAAGGACTAGGCTCAAAGGACTATGACGAAGACCCATCAGCCTGGGGGGCGGGGGGGATCTCTAACTCCAGGGCCCAGCCCCTTGCATCCTGTCAGCTGGTGGGAGCAGGGGAGAGGGCACCGAAGTGCTGATGCCCTCGGGCTGGGCCCCACATTCAAGCTGAAGCCGTGCACCGAAACCCCCCGCCATGAGCTTCTGTCGGGGTGCCTGTCACCCCTGGGATGAAAGGCAGGGTCAGAGGCGACCTCCTGACAGGGACTCAGTGCTGTGAACTCAGAATGAGCCAAGGATGTGACGCGGGTGCTGAGGAGGTTGTGCGTGGTGTGCCTGGCTGGCAGAGCCACGAGCCCGGTGCCCAGCACCACCAACCCCGCTGCCCTCTGCCCAGTGGGCCACCCAGGCAGCTGAGCCTGACCCTCGCAGGGGCCACAGGTCAGAGGGGGTGGTGAGCTCTCCATCCTGGGACTGACCACCCAGAGGCGAGGGTGCGAGGAGGAGGTCCCTGTACCAGGTAAAGGCTTGGACCAACTTCCTCCAATACTTTCTCATCTGGAAGATTGGCAGGGATCGCCCACACTTGCCTCCCTTCCCAGACTGGCTCTGCCAGGTGCTCCGGCCTAGGGCCGCCAGAAAACATGGTATGAAATGTACTAAAAAACTTGTTTATCGGAAATTCAAGGTGTCCTCTGTTTTTATTTGCTAAGTCTGGCAACTCGACTCTGCCCCCAAGAGAATGGTGTAAAAGCTAGCCGTTCTGGTTACCTGTATGGGAAGGCACCTCTGCCTGTGAGCCCGCAGCACATGTGTAACCTCCCGCCTTCCACCCCCTCCAGCCCCGGAAGCTTCTGGGCCTGAACCAGACCTAAACCGAATGATGCCTCAGGCGACCAGATGCAGGGGCTCATCCACTGAGCAGGACAATGTGGCCTCCCTCCCACTTTCGG